GGTCTCGCTGAACATAGCGGACAAGGAGGACTACTGAGACCTCAAGAACAATGGCAATGGGTTTTTGATTCTACTGGACCTATTGGTTTCGTGGGAGACTAGGCAGTTTCGTGGATGCTCACCTTACTAGACCTGGACGGAGGAGGGTTTTCCTTGGACTTCCCATGGGACAGAGAGCCCTGATTGCTCTTTGGGCTGACGAGGGAGGGGGACTTTATTGGGGGAGGGGGAGGGAAAGGGGAGGCGGAGGTGGGGAAGAGACAGAAATATTTAATAAATAAATTAAAAAAAAGAAAAAAAAAGACTGCAGGAAAATGAATAGCCTCTAGGAAACATATAAATGTTCCAGAACGTGATGTCTGCCTCAGGAGCAATATATAACAACCCAGTGTAGCAAGAACCACTGATGGTTTCAACAGCCAGGCAAATATTGCCTGTCCCTCAGTGACTTTTCTCTTTTCCTTCAGCCTGCCTGGAATAATGTTTGGCAAAATAACGAACAATTGGAGATTTCTCTGAGTTTGAGAATCCATTCAGTACTTTCCTGTCCAACATCATTACTGAGATTATTATGGATTCAAGAGCCAAAAGGAAAGGAATAAAAAAAAAAGATACAAATCTGGTGGCCACTGATGAATGGGCAGCTGTCTAAGTGCTACTGGTTCTAGTTCACTCTGTGCCATACTTTTGTGGAATTTTGTTATAGCAGTCAACCGTAGAGGATTCAGGGCAGCCTAAGAAACAATTTTTGGTTTGTTTCTTGTTTATTGTCTGCTTACTTTGCTTATTACAGACTTCATTTCCAGCTAATACACAGTGATGCCTAACAATCTCTACATGATATTTACACCATTTTGTACTGGTCTTATGCTATGTCATGCTTGCTCTTGTGACTAATGGAATAGAGTATATGTGTTGGATGGTTTGTCTAAATTAGATGGTATCAGGATGTGGATTTCTTCCATCATCCAGCCCTCTCTTTTGGATAGATCACTCAAATGAGAGTTTGAATGTGTATGTTGTCAGGTCTGTAGGTGCTCTCTGTGTATGGGTGGACACAAAGTACAAGACACTAGCTGTGTAAAGGAGCCCACTGGTAATTGGATTTTTTTTATTGAAAAAAAAATTTCCTCCTCCTCCCCGCCTCCCATTTCCCTCCCCTTCTCCCTTTTCCCTCCCTCTCCTCTCATTCTTCTCCCTCTCCCCTTACTACTTTCCCCCTCCCTCTCCAGTCTGAAGAGCAGTCAGGGTTCCCTGCTCTGTGGAAAGTCCAAAGTCCTCCCGCCTCCATCCTGGTCTAGGAAGGAGAACATTCAAACTGGTTAGGCTCCCACAAAGCCAGAACATGAAGTAGGATCAAAACCCAGTGCCATTGTCCTTGGCTTCTCGGCAGCCCTCATTGTCTGCCATATTCAGAGAGTCCAGTTTTATCCCATGCTTTTTCAGTCACAGTCCAGCTGGCCTTGGTGAGCTCCCAATAGATCAGCCCCACTGTCTCCGTGGGTGGGTGCACCCCTTATGGTCCTGACTTCTTTGCTCATCTTCTCCCTCCTTCTGCTCCTCATTGGGACATTGGGAGCTCAGTCCTGTGCTCCAGTGTGGGTCTCTGTCTCTATCTCCATCCATCGCCAGATGAAGGTTCTATGGTGATATGCAAGATATTCATTAGTATGGCTATAGGATAGGGTCATTTCAGGTTCCCTATCCTCAGCTGCCCCAGGAACTAACTGGGGACATTGCGCTGTGCACCAGGAGCCCCTCTAGGTCCAAGTCTCTTGCCAACCCTAAGATGACTCACTTAATTAAGATATGTGCTTCCCTGCTCCCCTATCCAACCTTCCTTTATCCCAATCATCCCGTTTCCCCAAGTTCCCCCCAACCTCCCCTTCTCACTTTTTCTCCCCATCTCCCCTTACCCCCATCCCACCACACCCCCAAGATCCAAATTTTTGCCTGGGAATCTTATCTACTTCACATAACCACGAGGATAGCTATATGTTTTTCTTTGGGATCACCTTCTTATTTAGCTTATTTAGGATATCAAATTATAGACTCACTGACCTTTATTTATCTCTAGAAACCAATTATGAGTGAGTACATCCCATGTTCATCTTTTTGGGTCTGGGTTACCTCGCTCAGGATAGTGTTTTCTATTTCCATCCATTTGCATGCAAAATTCGAGAAGTCATTGTTTTTTACCGCAGCGTAGTACTCTAATGTGTATATATTCCACACTTTCTTCATCCATTCTTCCATTGAAGGGCATCTAGGTTGTTTCCAGGTTCTGGCTATTACAAATAATGCTGCTATGAACATAGTTGAACAAATGCTTTTGTCATATGATAGGGCATCTCTTGGGTATATTCCCAAGAGTGGTATTGCTGGGTCCAGGGGTAGGTTGATCCCGAATTTCCTGAGAAACCGAAACACTGATTTCCAAAGTGGTTGCACAAGATTGCATTCCCACCAGCAATGGATGAGGGTACCCCTTCCTCCACAGCCTCTCCAGCAAAGGCTATCATCGGTGCTTTTGATTTTAGCCATTCTGACAGGTGTGAGATGATATCTCAAAGTTGTTTTGATTTGCATTTCCCTGATTGCTAATGAGGTTGAGCATGACCTTAGGTGTCTTTTGGCCATTTGAACTTCTTCTTTTGAGAATTCTCTGTTCAGTTCAGTGCCCCATTTTTTAATTGGGTTAATTAGCATTTTAGAGTCTAGTTTCTTGAGTTCTCTATATATTTTGGAGATCAGACCTTTGTCTGTTGCGGGGTTGGTGAAGATCTTCTCCCAGTCAGTAGGTTGCCTTTTTGTCTTAGTGACAGTGTCCTTTGCTTTACAGAAGCTTCTCAGCTTTAGTAGGTCCCATTTATTCAATGTTGTCCTTAGTGTCTGTGCTGCTGGGGTTATACTTAAGAAGCGATCTCCTGTGCCCATCTGTTGTAGGGTACTTCCCACTTTCTCTTCTATCAGGTTCAGTGTGTTCGGACTGATATTGAGGTCTTTGATCCATTTGGACTTGAGTTTTGTGCAAGGTGATAGATATGGGTCTAATTTCAATCTTCTACAGGTTGACATCCAGTTGTGCCAGCACCATTTGTTGAAGATGCTTTCTTTCTTCCATTGTATACTTTTAGCTCCTTTGTCGAAAATGAGGTGTTCATAGGTTTGGGGATTAAATTCCGGGTCTTCTATGCGATTCCATTGGTCGACTTCTCTGTTTTTATGCCAATACCACACTGTTTTCATTACTGTAGCTCTGTGATAGAGTTTGAAGTCAGGGATGGTAATGCCTCCAGAAGATCCTTTATTGTATAGGATTGTTTTGGCTATCCTGGGTTTTTTATTTTTCCATATAAAATTGATTATTGTCCTCTCAAGATCCGTGAAGAATTTTGATGGGACCTTGATAGGAATTGCATTGAATCTATAAATTGCCTTTGGTAGAATTGCCATTTTTACTATGTTGATCCTCCCAATCCAAGAGCAAGGGAGGTCCTTCCATTTTCTGATATCCTCATCAATTTCTTTCTTCAATGCTTTAAAGTTCTTGTCAAATAGATCTTTTACTTCCTTGGTTAGAGTTACCCCGAGATATTTTATGCTGTTTGTGGCTATTGTGAAAGGTGAAGCTTCTCTGATTTCCCTCTCTGCTTCCATATCCTTTGTGTATAAGAGGGCGACTGATTTTTTGGAGTTGATCTTGTATCCTGCCACATTACTAAAGGTATTTATCAGCTGTAAAAGTTTCTTGGTGGAGTTTTGAGGGTCACTTATGTACACTATCATATCATCTGCAAATAACGAAAGTTTAACTTCTTCCTTTCCAAGTCAAATCCCCTTGATCCCCTTATGTTGTCTTATTGCTATTGCTAGAACTTCAAGCACTATGTTGAAGAGGTATGGCGAGAGTGGGTTTCTGAGTTTAGTGTTCCTGAGTTTAGTGGGATGGCTTTGAGTTTCTCTCCGTTTAATTTGATGTTAGCTGTCGGCTTGCTGTATATAGCTTTTATTATATTTAGGTATGACCCTTGTATCCCTAGTCTCTCCAAGACTTTTATCATAAAGGGATGTTGAATTTTGTCAAATACTTTTTCAGCATCTAATGAAATGATCATATGGTTTTTTTCTTTCAGCTTATTTATATGATGGATTACATTGATAGATTTTCGTATGTTGAACCAGCCCTGCATCTCTGGGATGAAGCCTACTTGATCATAATGGATAATTTTTCTAATGTGTTCTTGGATACGGTTTGCCAATATTTTGTTGAGGATTTTTGCGTCGATGTTCATGAGTGAGATTGGCCTGTAATTCTCTTTCTTTGTTGAGTCTTTGTGTGGTTTTGGTATCAGAGTGACGTAGCATCATAAAAGCATCATAAAATTTGGCAATGACTCTTCTGCTTCTATATTGTGAAATACATTAATGAGTATAGGAATTAGGTCTTCTAGGAAGTTCTGGTAGAATTCCGCATTGAAACCATCAGGTTTTGGTAGGGAGGTTTTTGATAACAGCTTCTAATTCTTTGCCACTAACAGGTCTATTTAGATTGTACACCTGGTCCTGGTTTACTTTGGTATATGGTATTTATCTAAAAATTTGTCCATTTCTTTTACATTTTCCAGTTTTGTGGCATACAGGCTTTGTAGTAAGATCTATTGATTCTTTGAATTTCCTTTGTGTCTGTGGTTATGTCCCCCTTTTCATTTCTGATCTTTTTAATTTGCATATTCTCTCTCTGGCATTTTATTAGTTTGGATAGGGGTTTATCAATCTTGTTGAATTTCTCCAGGAACCAGCTTTTGTTTCATTGATTCTTTGGATTGTTTTCTGTGTTTCTATTTTGTTGATTTCAGCCCTCAGTTTGATTATTTCCAGTCTTCTACTCCTCCTAGGTGACTCTGCTTCTTTGTTTTCTAGAGATTTCAGGTGGGCTGTTAAGTCTCCAAT